TTTGTTGTGTGTTGGTTTCCCATCTGGTGATGTTGAAGTCGAGACTCAAGATGAAGATGAGGCAAGCACATAGTCTAAACACCTTTTGAAATCAATTAATATCTAGCTCGATACATAGTAGGAAATTCACTCTACAAAACATTGTTTGTCAATTTGCAGGTATATTGGCTCCAATTCGGGAGATATTTTGCACGAGGGCCTGTGGTGAGTAACAATACTTTCTGATCTACAAAGTGTGATTTATAGGTTATCAGCCACTTCACTAAGACAAAATGGGATCCTTGTTTTTCAGGAAAGAGATGATTACGCGCTAGAACTTGCAATGGGAGACGAATGAGCTGTGCCTGAAGTTCTGAATATGCCGATTATCTTTTTGTGCCTCCAAATGTCACTCTCAGCTTTCTTCCCTTTCAGGATCATGGTTGTAACCGTTGTTTCTGCGGTTGGTAGCGTTAGTCACAAGGACTTGCTTCGTGAGTGGAGGAAAAAAGTTTTGGCTCTACTCCCTATTTTTCATGTTCTGTTGTCCTCTAGCAGCCTGGCGCGTGCAATATGGTCTTGTAAAGATGGCCACTTCTCATTTTTCCTGACAGATGACACTTTGGGCTCGTTCGGCTGCTACCAAAAGCAGCTAGTTTTCACTGTCGAGGGCTGAAAACACTGTTCACTGTCGCACAGGTTCCTCCAGATTTATCCAAATTCCTCCCAGCGAACAGGCCCTTTATGAAGTGTGTAAAGTTGTAAACTAGCCAGCATTCAATCTTCAGCGCGAAGCTACGAGCGGCTAACTTGAACTGTTTGAAGTCGTGCCAAGCTGTTGTGGTGTTAGTTTGTTACAGAAGAGCTTGCTTCCAGGTTGCTGAACCTGAACTGTTTGAAGTCGTGCCAAGCTGTTGTGGTGTTAGTTTGTTACAGAAGAGCTTGCTTCCAGGTTGCTGAACCTGAGCGGCTGAGCGCGAACGAAATGTTGGCGCTCACTACCGAGCGGACCTGCCGCCGGGACGGCGCGGCAGGTAGAGGTGGCTGCGGCTTAGCTCCAGTCCGCGCCGGGTCTAGATGAATCGCTCCCCTCGCAAGTCACAAACGTGAAATTCCAGCGAAATTGGATGGTTGTGATGTGCAAAATGGTCAGTGACCGAGCTTCAATAATCAGTATGAAATGCACGAGCCTAATAATAAAGATGCAAAATTTCTTGCCACCAAATTTTTTTCGTCCAACCTAATCCTAAAATCATTAGCTCCAGAAAAATTTCCGCATCCATTGTTTCCATGGAAGACGTTCCGTCTGCATGTCAATTTTGGTCTGGTCATGATTTTGGTCTGGCTGCTGTCCGTAATCTTTTTTTCATCACTTCTACGTTGGGCTCTACGCAAAACACAGAGTTGGAGATCGACACCGAGGTTGAGAAGTTTTCCAAATCGGTAACGTTAAACGTAAGAGAAGCAAATTGAGGCAATCGTGCACCAAATTTTGAGATTAAAACAACAGCACAGATCAAACTAAGGAGACTGAATCGAAACTACCACGGACAAATCGAAACATATATATTGAGATAAAAATCATGGGAGCATAGCGGTGGACAGAAATAAAATTTGAGCAGAGACCAAATTACAAATTCCTAAGGGGAGGCCTCATCATCAAGATCCAAAAGCCTCGAACTGGACCTCAAGCTTGAGACCAGCTTCACCCAATAAACAAATCAGCGACAGATTCGGGGTGGGCGGGGCTTAACCGTTCACGAGCGGCTTCGCACTGGAGGAAGGCGGCGGCAGCATCTCACTGCAGACGGCAGAAGACGACATGACGACCGGCTGCGGCGGATTCACGGGGACCGGCGATGGTGGCAAGCCTCTCACGGACTAGCGGCGGCGGCGGACGCGTGCCTTGTCTTAGCTCTTGCGGGGCGAACGGGAGTAGGGGCGCCGGCGCGACGAAGCTGATCTATGGCGGTGGCCTTGGTGATCTCGTGTCCCGGGTGTAAGTAGGAAGACAGCCGGGATGCAAACCAGCGCCGATGACGGGCGGAGGCAGCGCGACGATGACTGAAATTTGGCCGCCGCTGATGCTTGATTTGCTATGAGCGGAAAATACCGTGAAAAAGTACCGTTACGAAACAGGAAAGATGTATTTTTTTTATTTTCTGATGAAGTCGGGCTCACTATAAAGATCGATGTGGGCCTTTAAGTTTAAAGAGAACCAGGCCTTATGACACGTAGGGCCCATCTCAAGGCTTCTGGAGGTCTTAATCCTGTGACTGAGAATGTGTGTGTCAATAAGCGTCTTTACTGTCCGCGGACGTATAAAAAATTCACAATCTCACTGGATTCCATAAGGCAATGTCCTTCAATGATTTATTTTTTCTATTTTGTGTATATATGTCACAGGTTTTCTTGTTTTATTTTCTAGGTTTGGAGTATAGGTCTAGCATTGTTTTTTATTCATTTTTATTTCAAAAATGAGGGGTACCACTGGATGTCTCAGTTTTTATTAAAAGAAGTATTTGGTCTGAAGTTGGATGAGCGTGTCATGCAGGGTTCAATCACAAGAGAAATTGATGAAATGCATGACGCATTAAAGGATATAAATCTCTAAAGCTTTTCATGTTCGTATGAGTTAGAGTAAAGCGCATGATGTGTTGGTTAAATAAATATCATCCTACAAGTCATATAAGTAACCATGCAATAAACTATGTGTCCCGTATTCCCATTGCAACGCACGGATATTTTTGCTAATAAATCCTAGTCCTGGATGAAGCAAAAGTTAATCAAATATGTATCGAAAATCGGAAATGATACGACGCGGCGTCCGTCCCGTCTAGACGCCGCGCGCCTAGGCCTGCAGACCAAAATGTCTAATAAACCTCGCGTCCGTCCCCGTACGTTGCTCCTGCTGCTCGCCTCGCGCTGCTCCTGCTCCTCCGCCGCCCGCCCCACTGCTGCTGCCAATGCTGCACGCGCCCGCCCCGCTGCTCCTGCTCCGTGCGCCGTCTCGCTGCTCCTGCCGCAACTTCGCTGCCCACGCTCGCTGCACCTCCTCCGCCACCCGCCCAGCCTGACGACGCCGACAGGCGCCACTAGTGCAAGCAGAAGCATCAGGCCCTGACACGGAAGCCCTCCGACCTCGACTGCTCCTACGGCTGCGGCGCCCGGATGCAGACGAGGAGGAGGCCGCACCAGGATATGATGCATGTTGCAAGTTCACATTTCAAATGTTTCAGAAGTTTTAAAGGTATGTTGCAAGCGTTTCATATGAATGTTGCAAAAGTATATCGGGATGTTGCATATATCGCAATGGTTGTACACGTATGTTGCAAGAGTCTGTCTTCAATGTTTCATTTGTTTTTTAAACCTATGTTGCAAGCGTGTTTATTTGGATGTTGCATATGTTTTTTCACACATACGTTGCAAATGTTTTTATCTGGACGTTGCGTATGTTTTGCAATGATTTTCAAGTATTTTTCAGACGCGTGTTTCAACAAGAATTGGGCCTGTGGACCAGCCAGCCTAATAAATCTCATGTCCGTTCCCTTCCATTGCTCCTATCGCTCACCTCGTGTTGCTCCTATTTCTCCTCCACCATCCACGCCCTTTCGTTGCTCCTGCCGCTCGCCCCGCGCTTCTCCTACTCCTCCTCCGCCTGTCCCGCTGCTCCTACCATTGCTCCATGCGTTTGCCCCGCTGCTCCTGCTCCGCCACCCACGCTCGCTGCACCTGCTCCGCCACCCTCCCGGCCTGACGACGCCGACAAGCGCCGCTAGCGCAAGGAGAAGCGTTAGGCCCTGACGCGGAAGCCCTCCGACGTCGCCTGCTACTACGACTGCGGCGCCCCGATGCAAACAATGGAGGTGGCTGCAACAGGATATGATGCATGTTGCAAGCTCACATTTTAAATGGTTTAGGTGTTTTAGAGGTATGTTGCAAGCGTTTCATACGGGTGTTGCAAAAGTAGATTATGATGTTGCATATATTTCAATGGTTATACACGTATGTTGTAAGAGTTTGTCTCCAATGTTTTTTTTGTTTTTCATATGTATGTTGCAAGTGTGTTTATTTGGATGTTGTATATGTTTTTACACATATGTTGCAATTGTTTTTATCTGGATGCTGTGTATGTTTTGCAATGGTTTTCAAGTGTTTTTTACAAGTGTTTCAGACGCATGTTTCAAGTGTTTTATCTGTTTTTTTATGTTGCAAGTGTTGCATTCGAATGTTTCAAAAGTAGATCGGATGTCACATGTGGTACGTGTGGGAAGTTGGAGGGGACGTGAGCGGTCGCTGCAGGCGCGCCGCGTAGGCCCCGCCACTGCGAGACACAAGCGCGGGCGAGCAACGTCTGGGCGACGTGGGCCCATGCGTGGACAGGGGAAAACGGACTACAACCACGCCTTTTTTTTACACAATCAAATGAAGATAATTTTTATATAAATATTGTGAGATCTGCTAATTTTTTTTATATTTACGAGGATCTTTTTATACTTTAGTTTAGTTTTGAGTTTTTTTTTCATTTGAGATTATTAGGATGCACCTAAAAAAATAAATTGTATATAATTAGACACGAGGTTATTTTTGACGAATCACGAATTCGGTGAAGGAATAATTTAAGCCCATCCAGTTAGTGCAATGAGTCCAAATTTGGCAATGGTGCGGGACTAGGGTTTTAACGATAAGAAGGGTATGGAAAAAGAGTTCGAGAGTAGTATTACCCATACCTATAAAAACGCATAAATAATTTAACCTCTCGCAATTTTTTAATGATATAAATCATATTTATATATGAGTATATTCTAGACTCCCTCAAACCCTTTTATCACTCCACTCCACACGAGTAAAAGCCTCTTTCGACGAATCACGAATGGAATCGGTGAAGGAATAATTTCCAGAGCCCATCCAGGCCGTTGAGTGCAATGAGTCCAGTAGCAGATAAGATGGGCGCCAAGCCCACGAGCCGAAGTTAACAAACGCAGCTCTCGCCACGGCCGCGCTCGCCAGTCGCCACCCCGATGCTACTGGTGCGCGCCCCGCCGTCTCCGCCGCCGCTCTCGGCGGCGGCCAACTTCCCGGCGAACCTGGAGCATCCCCTTCGCCTTCGCGGCATGTCCTCTTCCCGTGCCGGCGTTGCTACGGCCGCTGCCGCGGCGAAGTCGGCGGCTTCCTCCCTGGGCGGGCAAAAGCGCAAGCAGGTGGCGAGCGTGTCGAACCCGCTGGTGAAGCACTGCGTCAAGCTCCGGCTCTCCGCCGCGTACCGCCGCTCCTGCCGCCGCCTCCTCCTCGTCGGCCTCGCGCCCATCCTGTACTCCTCTGCAACTCCAGGCCCTTGTCACCTTACCTGTCCACTGTCCTGCGAGGCTTCTCTTCCTAAACCTGTGCTTCTGCCCCTTGCTACAGGGAGGTGTGTAGGTTTGAGCTCGACGCCATCGATTACTTGCTTCTCCTGGACGGCGTAGAGGTCCCGGAGGCGCTGCGCGAGTTCTCTGGTGATGTCGTGTATGTCAGCGCCGCGGTGATGAAGAAGGTATCCGGGATGCAATCGGTTGATTCCACCGAGGCGATTGCTGTCATGCACATGCCTAACCATTTCCGTGACCTCGGGAGCCATGAGGATGGGATTGCTCTTGATGGGTTGTTCAGTTATCCAAAGAGGATTCTAGTCCTTGATGGGATTCAGGTGAGGATATGAAGTACCCACCAAGGCCACCATTGTGCAGAGAGATGATTGCTGTCATTCTTTATACAGTAGAAATGCAAAGCATAATTCAATCCATGCATGCTGTTTTTGTTTGAAGCAAATGCAGTTATGCACATATATCCATTCAGTGGGTCTCATGCTAACCATGGTGCCCCTACCTTGCAGGATCCTGGTAACCTCGGAACACTGATAAGATCAGCTTGTGCTTTCAAAATGCCATATTCTTTCCTTAAGGTCACTTATTGAAGTATGTCAGACTGTACTACTGCTGCATTGCATAGTGTTAAATAATCTATTGCCACTTTACCATAGAGTTTGAGGAATGCCACTAAATTTCATTGTGCTCCAGTTCTCCTTTGCTAAAAAGAAATTGATTCTGCTCTTATGTAAGATAGGATGGAATGTCCTTATCTGATTCCAGTACACAATATTTTTTATGGGGTACACAATACATGATTTATATGTATTAGCTATCTCCAGTAGAGAAAACCAAGCACTCTCTAGTATTTGCTGTTCCAACTCTGCACTTCTAACAACCTCTAAACCCAAATGCCATCAGGATGGAGTATTCCTTCTTCCGGCTTGTTGTGATCCTTTCAATGAAAAGGCTATTCGTGCAGCCCGTGGAGCCTCTTTGCAGCTTCCTATTGTCTCTGGTACCTGGCATGACCTGCATGCATTGATGACAAAGTATGGTATGAAGATGATGGCAGGCCATCCAGAAAGTAGCAGTGATGCATCCCAAGAAATCTACTCGTTGTCCAAAAAACTAGCTGATTCACTGTTGAATGAGTCTCTGTGCTTAGTGTTAGGAAGTGAGGGCAATGGCCTCTCTGCAGAGACCCTCCAGGCATGTGAGCTTGTAAACATTCCAATGGAAGGTACTTTTGAATCTCTTAATGTTTCAGTTGCAGGTGGTATATTTTTGTTCATGTTACAACCCAAAGGTCAAATAGACAGAAGAACTTCAACCCCTTAACTTTGCGTCTGTTTCTGTTGCTGTTATCTTCTTGTTAACGTTTCTTTGTTTTCATTTCTGTGGTTGTTGGTTTCTATCTTCACTGTTAATGCTGATTCAAAGTAAAGGAATATTTTGTTTAATCTGAGGGATGAGAAACATAACGTACAGAAAAATGAATCTGCTGACCCACCATGATAATAACTCAACAGTAAATCTTCACAGTTTTGATGTTGTGTTTGATCCGTGGATAACACGGTTAGCGCTGTAGTTAAGGTTGCAATCCTTTGAACAATAATGACCAGTGTTATCAAGTCGTGTAGTCAATCCTACTCAACATGGGACCAACAAAGCGATTAGTCGCAATTAGTCGTTGACCAGGGTAACTCAGCGCTGGTCGGTCCTATTCGCCCCCTAGTCGTCCTATATATATCAGGACTAATATACCAAATATATACTAATATACTCTATGTTCTAGTTCTAGAGTACATATCAAGCATGAAGATAACTCAAGGGTGGTGGCTGCATGTAGGGTTACAAATGGGGCTGAAAAACATGAGCCCAAGTGGCCTAATCCATCCCGGATGCAGCCCATGTCCTTAGCTGCCCAGTTCCATTCTGTTTCTAGTTGTCCGACTAATCGTGATTAGTCAACAACTAATGAGATGACCAGAAAACTAATTGGTCTAATCTAGTTGTAGCCCCTAGTCGAGTTCAGGATACCGACTAGGATATTCTGGCTAATGCTTGCTATAAGCCTTTTGGTACTTGCAGGCCCGCCCCAAGTCCACATTTGCCCCTTCCAAGAATTATTCTCTAAAAGAAAAGTACTTCATCAGTCATCAGTTGAATTAATTTGTAAATTAAGCTGTTCTCGGATGCTTGCAATTTCAGAATAAACTCGTATTAAGCTACACCTTCTACTATATATCTTTGGCTTTCCTAGTAGGCTAGTACAGATGAACCTTCATTGGTTTCTGTGCAAGCCTCGATACATGGGAATAAACTCTCCATTATTAATTTGGAGCAGAGTTGTACTACACTATTCTGAGCTTTATAGGAATCTGTTACTATAGCAGAAAATTCAGATTAACTGCTGTCTTCTTGATGCTCTGCTCTTTTGTGTGGTAATGTTAGAAGTAGAGAGTATGGATTACTGTCTACAGCAGGGATTTCCTATTTTCTTCTAGAATGAAAGATTTGGGACTTCCGTTCCTTCCGCTTCATTTTGGTGGCTGTTGTCCAATGTATGAAAAAAAGTTATTGTACAACAATCTGTTGCACAAAGTTGACAAATTGACACTGCATGATCACACCATGAGATTTTCCTTGATCCTTCAATACATAATGCATAAATTTATGAGTATAAAGGAAAATCATGCATGAAAAAAGTTATTAGAGTAATTTGTTGCAACAGAGTAGAGCAATTGATGCTGAATAATGATGAAGGGTTTTTCCTTGATCTTTCAATACATAATGAAACAGAAAAATAAGTTATGTTGGGTTCACATAGCTGAAAGGCTGACATGGTATCGTAGATATGTGCTTCTCAGTTGGGTTTGGTTCTTGTTAATGTCAAATATATCTATGTAATGAGAATTACGATCTGCAAAACTCCTGGTATTATGCCTGCACCACAATGACATCTTTCACATGATTTATTACAAGATCTTGCATAATCCACCACTGCTGACCTGATATGGTGCTGCCCTAAAATAAAACGCACTATCAACTTCTATTGGTGTCATTTCAACTTACTTCGGCCTTGTTAGTTGGTGCTCAGAAGGAATGCTTTTAGGTGAAAGCTTGTTTTGTTAACAGGTAAGAGCATGCTGACTCATAAGCAATCTGGATTTGCTATGGTAATAGATGTGTGCTTCTACATGTCTGTCACTCACTGAAAATGGTAGTGCTCCTTTCCATTCATGTCTTTCAAGCGGTCTTGTTTCGCCAATTGATAGAGTTTTTTGTGCATATACAATTATTATTATGCCTTTGTTTATATTTGAATAGTTATTTTTAAGATATTTTCATGATAAACAATATGACCTCTCACTTTCAACTTCTGCTTGGTCTTTTTAAATTAATTTTCTTTTGGATTTTATCTCCACAATCTGAAGAAAACATCCTTTGATGATGTTGGGTGGGCATGGACAAATGACATGGTCAGTGGCCAAGTGCTGCAACAAGGACTGAATTCCATTGTCATCCTAGGAGCATGGATGCTATGGAATCACTGAAATAGGTGTGTTTGATGGAGGATCACCATATCTACATTGTGCTCTATTGCTGGCCACTGAGGAGATGAAATGTTGGAGTTTGGCAGGGGCTAAGGGGATTTCCTTCCTAACTAGCTCTGTCATAGATGCTTAGGTGTTTGAGGTCGAGATCATGTCCTATTGGGTTGGTATATATATCGTTTTTTCTTCTTTAATTAATAAAGTGATACACAATTCTCTTGTGTGTTCAAGAATGCATTCATTTTTCTTTTTAAGTATTCATTTGATTGCTTCAATGCTTGCTATTTATACACAAGTTGATTCCTCTTAGAACAGATTTGTTTATCGTGGTGGTAAACTGCTCGTCTTACACTTCTTTCATTTTTGAAGAAGTGTTATTGGCTCGTCATAATATTGATAATTAAAGTTTTTAAATGCCTTCGTTGTCTCGGGAACTATTTGAATGGCAATGAGAACTGTTAGTGCATTGCTTGTCTTGTCTGCTGCAACTGGAAACAAACACACTTTCTCTTACTTGTATAGGGGACATGCCCTATGTTTGGTATGCTGAGCTACCAACTACTAGGCTGTCTAGGTACAAGTAATCAAATGCATATTTTTACATAACATGTACTGTACCGAAAGATTATAGAGTCAGCCACTGAGCTACATCACAGCATCCCCATGACTTTGCCTCCAAAGTACTAATGGGATCTGTGCTGACACCTGAAAAGGGCATCCTAATGTAAGCAAAGATAAAAGCAAAGTTTGATCCATGCGCTGGCTGGCACTGGGGAACATCAAAATGTTGGATAAAGCAACAAAACACTACTTGTGGTTGTTATTTCAACAAACCATTCTGGGAACATGGCTCTCTACTGCTTTACTGCTGTGTCAGTTTGCTTTTTGTCTATTAGTATTAAACAGATTGTTCAGGTTCTGTCTTAGGTGATTCAAGCACCAGTTAGTAACATCCTCAACAAGTTAGCCATTAGGAAACTTTCATTGCAAACTTTCCACTGTTCTGCTTTCTTTCATAATAATGGATTCAAATGGTTTAGGCGTTTAGCTTATATATTCCAATACTGTTTCTGACTTACATGATCTAAAAGAATGACTGGAGTTTTGAAGATTTGCTTATCCTAAACAAGACTTTTTACCTAAGGAGCCATTTGTATGTTACTCCCTCTGTCCCAAATTATAGGTCATTTTGGTTTTTATAGGTACTTAGCTTTTGCTATGCACATAAATATATAGTTGAAAAGCCCAAACAACCTTAATTGGGAATGAAGGGAGTATTTCCAGCTTTATATTGATGAAATATGAGAAAAGAGAGACAAGGAAAGGTGGTAAGAGTTTCAACATGTTTGGTTTGCAGCATGAGGTCATCCGGAATGATCCGATCCTAGAACTAAAGCTGACAACGCTGTTTGGTTTGCAGCATGGAACTGCACCATCCGTCATGAAGTGCTTCCAAGGAGAGTTAATCGAAGTACAAAGCCACTCCGTAAAAAGTGCCGGACCAACACATTCTATGTTGCCAGGTTCAGCTGATGCCAGATGAGTTCTTCCAGCAAACCAAACACGCTGTTTGTATTTCTTGTTGTTCCTGATCTTTAACTTTTTTTTGTTCAATTAAATTTAACAGAGAAAGAAAAAAAGTTTATATTTGCCTCAACTATTTAGTCATTGTGGGCTGAATTCTATAGGATGATGTGCCTTTCAAAACTTGACTTCTTGAAAGGAATTCTGTAATGATTACAGTTGTATCTGTAATAGTTATGAAATTTTGAGCTGACCTGACTCAGCAAACGCAAGATCGATCCTATACAAGGTGGTAAGACAACATTTGTCAACTTCCATTTCTCCTAATCGTTTCATTAGTGATTCTGATGTCATTGTGCATAAATCCTTCGTTATTTTCCTGCGATAGTGACAGCCCTTATTATGCTTGTTTGGTGATTAGCTGCCATCTGGAACATCAGCTACTTGTTTCAGAACTAAACTTGTACAGTTCCCTGCCTCCTACTCAAGTAATGTAGTGTTCCGCGAAACACTGTTGAAACGATCATGTGCTTTCAACTTGGATCTCACATGTTCACAAGTAAAAACAGAGAGCAGTGATGGACCAATCATATTCAGGTACGAACACAAAATATCTACTGGGCTTTGGCATGTCCTCACAGTACAGTTCATTCCTATTAGAAAAAAGTGGGGGACCTAGATGCTTCAGATCGTGCTGCTTCATTATTCATGTCTTTATATATAGTCCTTTATTTATGAAAGGAAGTTTTCACGTGTATAGCACTCGTCATCTTAACGAACATTATCACTCTGTTCGATGCCAATATAGGCAAGTTGTTGTCTCCAGTGGCCAGCGTGCCATGGTGCATGTTTTCTCGTGAAACTGTGGTATCTTTGCCTTGTCAATGACAATGCCCATGGACTCATAATTGCCTTTCTGACTCTGAATCACGCAGGGTTGGTGTTCCTGCAACGCATGCCATTTGGCAGCTTGCTTTCAATCCTTTTGGTGTTTTGCAGTGTGCTGGGTTGGGTTTGGTGGTGTTGATTGATCTGTGATCGTCTAAAATAGCATTGGGAGGCCACTGATTGGTCCATCACTTAGCTGAATTAAGCACTGCCAGGTTGGTGAATGATACTCTCTCGGCTTCTCTTTGGGAAGTACTCTAGCAATCGGATCACATAAAGAAAGCTGAGTTGTTGCGGCCTGTGTCGCAGCTTCATACGTGCAATGCATATGAGTTGTATGCTGGTGGCTTTTTCTTGGTTCAGAGAATT